TTGTGTTTTGCCAATACATTTGTTCTGCAGTTTATCTGGGAATTAGTGCCGTATTCAATGGGTGTTTAGACACTTCACTGAAAGGCAGTTTGCTTTTTTTAAAGCTCTAGTGAGAAAAATTCCTGCATGGTCTTTAAATATGCAGGTGTCCTGTGCATAACACAGACAATATTTAACATTGGTATTGAGCAATAGCAATGGAATTTGCACAAAAGCAGCTGCAGATATAACATTTAAATTGTATTGTCTTTCCAGGCCTACACGAGCGTTTCTAAAGCTTCGCTTGGTCTCGCGGACCACAGAGAGCTAGGAAAAATGATGAACACGATCATTTTCCACACAAAAATGGTAGATTCTTTGGTGGAGATGTTGGTTGAAACCTCAGATCTTTCTATCTTCTGGTATGTTACTAACCTGACTGTACAAGTTTTTTATTATTTATTATTTGGTTTGTCCTTGCAAGTTGTAATTTTTAAATAGTATACTTTATAGGATGATAGGCCAGTGAAAGAATTGATTGACATTTCTGGTTTCTAGTAGAATTAATTTGAAAAAGGTATTTATGAACATCTGTCAGAGATATTCTCCATGCAGTTATATAATTGATTAGGAATCATTTGCAGATTTTTTCCTTTATACTTTTTGGCAAAATGTGCGGGTTTTTACAGTCCCTGTATGGCAAACATCAGAATAAAATAATAATAATAATAATAACAATAACAACAACAATAATAATAATAATAACAATAATAATAATAATGTTGTAAAATAGATATGCAAATCAAATGTATAAGAAGTGAATGCAAAAAACAAAAATGGTGAAGTTTTTGGTATACAAAATATGTTTATGGTCACATTTTGTTTGTGTGAAGTAAACCTTATTTGCAGCAAAAACATATATATGGCATTTAAGTGTCTGATTAATAACCAGTTAATTCTGTTCAGTTTTTATAGTCGTGCTTTTGAGAAGATGTTTCAGCAGTGTTTGGAGCTTCCTTCTCAATCAAGATATTCAATTGCATTCCCACTGCTTTGTACTCACTTTATGAGCTGTACCCATGAACTGTGCCCTGAAGAGGTAATTTTTAAATTTTAGTTATTTTCATCTCTTATTCAATGTAGAGTGAACTAGAGCTGAACACTGTAAGAAGGTGTTTGTTATGGCAGTTCAATATTTGAGGGAGGAGTGTGCTAAAAATATAAAAATGGAGTTAAAACAAGTGGATACCTTGTTACATGACTCTTCATGCATAAATCTCTAAATCCTTTTCTGAAGTGAGGAAACATTTTGATTTTTATGCCTTTTAAAACTTAGAAGGAACAGTTTTCCTGTTAAATAGTTTAGAAACTCGTAGTTGGGGAAGGAAATAGGAAGTTGGGGGTTCTGTATGCCTTGTTAGAGTTTTCTTCAGTAAGAACAAAAAAAAGTTATACACAGTATAATGCAAGCATTTGCTTTGGTCAAAACTGGGTAATGAAAACCTTGTTGGTTAGAGCTAGAATTTAAAAAAAATACTGCATCACTTGAAGAAATGCACTTTTTGTTAAAGGAAGCAGTTTGAATCTGAGGAAATTCTTTCTATTTTTGTTGTGAGGACATAAATCCTTTTGTACATTTCCTGTATGTCCATTGACTTTGGAATTAGCCCGGGAGTTAACTTGGCCATTTTTATGTAGTGCTCATGAAAATGTTGTTTTCATTCCTAACAGTGCTCATCTGAAACAATTAGTTGAATAGGATTTATTGTAATATACAGACTATGGGGTTTTCCTGGTTAAACATAAAATTATTTTCTGCTAAACTTCATTACAATATACATCTATATAGTGTATGCTTTGCTTTAAATAGCTGCCAATGCTATTTATATTAGACAAGCAATAAAAAGTTTCCAGGAAAGCTTGATCCTTCAGGACAAGAGACATCTTTGAGAGCAGTGAGAGTAACAGTAAGAAATCAGTAGCCAAAGTCCACTCTGTGCATTCAGCTGCAGCAGGCACAGCTAGCAGAACTTGAAATTCAGTATCTAAATTGTATGCCTTAGTATCTTTTATAATTTTGGAAAAATACTCTTTGCTGTGCCGTGTACTGTGTCATAGTGTGGCTGATAGAAAGTAAACAACAGTGGTGAAAGGACCATTTCAGCAAGACAGAGACTGCACTTGTGCAGATCCAGTGACAAAGGAACAGACTCCAGAAATTAATGCAGCAGGGCTTTATCTTTGACTTGTTCAGTGATCTGAAGGACACTTCTTTCTCTATAGCTTGAGCTGCATGCCCTTTTCCCCCTAGACTTAGTATTGGCACATATTAACATTCACAGAGACCTTG